CCTCTTTAACTCCTTCATGGAACTGCTTAGCCTCAGTGCCAAGGCCTGAAGTAGGACAACAGCCGCAGCCCACCAAACTCACACATCCACCTACAGTGTGAAGTAGATGGAGGCATCCAGAGTTTGTGAAACAAAAGAATCATACAGAAACTGTATGGATGGTTCCAGCATAACAATCGCTGTTGGTTTGTTTGTGGGAGGTTTAACTTTTAAAGTATTTGTTTTATTATTGAGTCCATTTTAAAGTACCTCTTTATTTCAAGACACCTAATGAAAGATGGAGGGTAAGGGACTATGTGAATGTGATGGATTTTCCTCAAATGTCAAAGAAAGGGACCACAAGATAATTTGGTCAACATGACCTACAGAATATTGATAGACACAAGTTGTCTATAAGTATGTATTGACAACTATGGTTTGTATAATTTATACAAGAACATTTCTAAAAATGTCTGTCCTAAGATGGGATCGTTTGCTGTTATTATTTCTGAAAAATGGCTTAAAGGGGTATACATAAAATGGCCCACCTGCAATTTTTTGCTTCTATCGTTCTGACAGAGGTAAAACTAGAGTGGAGCGAGACAGAAGTGTGGTTTAAAAGGACTATGTGATAGTCTCTTGTTTCTACCTGCCTCAGTTAGAATGCAGTTGAGATTGAGGAGAGATGTATTTAAAACTAAGCCGTGTTCTTTCAGTTTGTTCTGACAATGAGAGAGGGGATTTAATGCCTGCAAGGACAAGGAGCAAAAAAATAAAGCACGACTTTCTTAAAGGAAGTGTGAGGTGAAATGATCCAAACGCATAAATGTCAGTGTTTAATGTTAGTCATTTTTATCTGTTTGTTGTTGATGGATATTTCCTATTATTTGACCTCTCAGAGGATATTCTTGCAGAGCAATTTTGTTGTTTTGGTGTGTAAATATTGTACAGCTATTTCATTCTCTAGTTCCCAGTTGCTCTTCTGTACATGAAATTCCTGTATTTGACATAATGAAATAAAACTGTTCAAATGACAAACGTGATGATGAATAAACCACTTCTGCTCAAGTCATTTCCCTAAAGAATGAACAGTTCATCAGCAAGTGGATGTGAGCTGATACAGACACTGCAAAAACTTTACTTTCATCATGCAATACATGTTGCACTATGAAATGCAGCTGTTAATCAAATTACCTTTCAATTCCCGCTCTATGAACTAGCTTTGATCTTTGTTGAGGGAATAGCTTACTTTTTACATACACGGGGGTACCTAGCGTGAAAATCATAAAAGGCCATGTTGGATTTTAAAAATCTTCCTCCTTGCTTCACTCAAGGGCATGCAGAGGATGGGAAATAAGCTGCTTAAAAGTCAAATGCATAATTAACCCTTCTGTTGTCTTAAGGGTCAAAAACGACCTGTCCATGGGTTTAACAGAAGTGAAACCCCCCTCAATGACATTTCTCTGCATGAAATTTGATGTTTCCTGAACTGACCATACCATTAGGGAAAAGTGATTCACTGCTGTCTTTAAAGAAATATTTTTTCAACAGCTGCACACCATCAGGGTAAGGCGTTTTTGAACTAGCATTTATAAAGTCATTTACAGATGAAGTGTTAGTAAAATAAACCACACATACAGGGTGAGAAAGAGAGAATGTGTGTACTTGTTTATTATTTATTTATTTTGCAAACAGAGAAGATACCCATTCTGGCCCCCTAAGACGGACTTTAAAACAAAGGCACTGTGCTTCAAACGTGACAAATACATTTATAAAGCTCATGCTTGCAGAATTGCATACATGTCATACAAGTAGGCTAGAAAAATAACATTACAAATCAATACAGTAAAAATAAATTATTGTAGCAAAACTAGTGGTGTTCATTAAATAAAATAATTCTGTCTCTGTATTGTGAGGTATGAAAACAGTTATTCACAGCCTATTAAGATTGATTAAGAGACTGATTGTTCGTGATAAAACAATAATTAATTCAATTATTAAGTGTCAGAGGGGTGGACGGGAGGAGAAGCCTTTTTCTTATATTTAATATTTTAGTTGTATAGCCTAAATAATTTACAAATATATTTTACTAATTTCTATTTTATTGTGGCAATTAATTTAAAACAGTCTAGATTAAACATTGAAAAGATGACTTCCATTATAAGGTTTTCTCTGTATCATATGCAAAGGACACCAATCCTCAGTATTCCACAATTAACGCGCAGCTAATAGACGGTAAATGGACCGGAGACCTACGTGCACCTGTACGCCGTCCTGTACGGCCACGCTCGTTGCGTAGGGCCCCGCCTCTGTCTCGTGTCAATGTTTACATTTTTGATGAGAGGACGAAGAGGAAACTATCCTTCTGCGCACGAGAAGAGAAAAGAACTCAATGAGAGTGACTTACGTGAACAGCAGTCAGGTAAACGTGATGTCAGCAGATAACAGCAATGAGAAGTTAGCCTAATGTAAGTTAGCACGCAGTGAGTCTGCTCTGTCTGTCCTGCTAACCCAGCTTTCTGTCTCCGTGTCTGGGTTGCTTGCCAGACTGTGACTGTCCAATGTTAGAGTGAAATACAGATGTGTATTACGTTTGATAAACGCCGACGGGCAGCGGTGTTTAGAACCAGCAGCCCGGAAAAGATAGCTGCGACGCGCCTGAACAAGTGTTCATATTTAGTTTAGCCTGTACATTCTGTGGTTTACCCCGCGGCCCTGTACACAGGACAAGCGGTTGACTGTGAGTGTGTGATTATGTGGTTTATATGCGCGTGCACGAAACTGCGCATACTAGCAGCTAACTCTGTGAGGACCAGTGGAGACAATGTATGGGCCCGATGTCACTCTTCAGAACAACACACTGATAATCTGTCTCTCAGCAATGGGTTAGTTAGACCTCTGGACTAATGCAAGGAAAAGCAATAGATTGACATTGACTCTTGATTATTAAAATGTTAATTAGCGGGCAGACTAGGCAATATGGATGCACATCTCACATTACATTTGAAAATTTATTCAAAACCAGAGGGAGCCAGTTTGAATGGGCCCGATGGAGCTGATAACATTAATATCCAGCACGTATTATAAATAAGTATAATCTATAATTTACAGTAGCTATGCTTAAGTTTGTCAGTAGAGTAGATGCTGGACCATCAGCCAGTACGAGCACAGACCCAGTAGAGATGTCTTTAGCAAGTCACACAGACCCAGGTGAAGTACAGGCAGCCTCAGCCAGTACGAGCACAGACCCAGTAGAGATGTCTTTAGCAAGTCACACAGACCCAGGTGAAGTACAGGCAGCCTCAGCCAGTACGAGCACAGACCCAGTAGAGATGTCTTTAGCAAGTCACACAGACCCAGGTGAAGTACAGGCAGCCTCAGCCAGTACGAGCACAGACCCAGTAGAGATGTCTTTAGCAAGTCACACAGACCCAGGTGAAGTACAGGCAGCCTCAGCCAGTACGAGCACAGGCCCAGTAGAGATGTCTTTAGCAAGTCACACAGACCCAGGTGAAGTACAGGCAGCCTCAGCCAGTACGAGCACAGGCCCAGTAGAGATGTCTTTAGCAAGTCACACAGACCCAGGTGAAGTACAGGCAGCCTCAGCCAGTACGAGCACAGGCCCAGTAGAGATGTCTTTAGCAAGTCACAAAGACCCAGGTGAAGTACAGGCAGCCTCAGCCATTACGGGCACAGGCCCAGTACAGATGTCTTTAGCAAGTCATACAGACCCAGGTGAAGTACAGGCAGCCTCAGCCATTACGAGCACCGGCCCAGTACAGATGTCTTTAGCAAGTCATACAGACCCAGGTGAAGTACAGGCAGCCTCAGCCATTACGAGCACAGGCCCAGTACAGATGTCTTTAGCAAGTCATACAGACCCAGGTGAAGTACAGGCAGCCTCAGCCATTACGAGCACAGGCCCAGTACAGATGTCTTTAGCAAGTCATACAGACCCAGGTGAAGTACAGGCAGCCTCAGCCAGTACGAGCACAGGCCCAGTACAGCTGTCTTTAGCAAGTCACACAGACCCAGGTGAAGTATAGACAGCCTCAGCTAGTACGAGCACAGCCAGAGATGTACAGTCAGCGTCAGATACAAGCAGCTCAGACCCTAATGGAATAGTTGCTGCTCGACCAAATGACCCAGCAGATTGGCCCCCATAGACTTCATGATTTTTCTTACCCTAAACACAAGTCTAGGAGAGGTTTCCATTCAGGCTTAACACAGACAGTTTTAAAGGAGGTAGGATTGTAGTGAGAGCACTGTGATGTCAGGTGTGACTGTGTAGCAATGGCTAATTGTTTACATGGCTCACGAGTCAGATAGTAGGGCCCAAAATCAGAATTTTGCGTAGGGCCCCAGGGAGGTCAGGACCAGCTCTGCTTGTAGGCAACTTGTTCCAACCACTCAAAGCCCTTTGCACTACCTGTCACATTCACTCATTATCACACATTCATACACTGATGGCAGAGGCTGCAATACAAGGTGGTAACTGCTCAACAGAAACAGAAAGTAATCATTTGCACACTTTCACACTCCAGTCACAGCCTTTGTATCAGTATTTAGTATCCTCCCCAAGGACATTTCGACATGCAGGCAGGGGGAGTTAGAGTATCACTACACCACCATTCTCACGTACATGTGGTTAACAGAATACTAAAAAAAAACAGCAAAAACAAATTGTGTGGTGTTGTCTATCAATGCGGCAAGATGAAGGGCCAGAAGGTCACTGACACAGGATTCATTCTCTGTCAGCCATGAATATCCAGTCAATTTTATGGAAGTTCTGCAGCCACTATGGTAGCCTATATTTTATTTATAAAGTTGACATTTTGGCCCGAGTGTGGCAACATGGATCAACTCAGAAAATGTCACGGCAGATAGTCCATTACATTACAAGTAGAGATGGAAGCTGATAGACCTGCTCCTCACCTTCTGTTGAAAGCATGTGGCGACATTTTCCATCTCAGCTCTGCTGTGTCACTTGCTCCAGGTGAGGAGTGCAGGTATTAGTGCAGGGGGCTAGAGTAAATCCAGGGCTTAGAGGGGGAGGAGGGGGGGCAGGAGGAGAAAAGGATTACGCAGTCATTGTTTTATCAGAGAGAAGAAGAAGAAGCTGTCCGAAGTGTGTCTCCACTTCTTTAGAACGACGACAGGTGAGTGGTCACTGCATAGTGCTGCTGCTGCTGTAACACTGAGCTGCTGCTGTACATCCCTACAGAAAATTTCATAACCTGTCACTTCCAACAGAGGCTTCCCATGTGCCTGTGGAAGAGCCAACTGAAAACTATCACTGGCGATTAAGTAACAGATTAAAAACAAATGGATTTGATGTTATTCTCTTTCATGGATTTTGATGTATGTTTAAAAAATGTTCAGTTCTGTTAGAATTTTTTTATCCAAAGTAATTTAAAATGTATGTATTTGTTTTACTTTAAATAGAGTAGATTTCAGTATCCCATCTATGTTTTCATTTTTATTTATCCAAGTAGCATTTAGTTTTTCACAGCTGACTTTCTATGAAACAATGTAGGCTATGTCAGCTGGTGACATCTGTTATTTTGCTAATTACTTGTAGTGATGTTACTTTGAAATAGCCCATGCAAGCTATTTATGATACATTTAATTTGTTCATTTATTATTTATAACACTGATCCTTTGTAACTATGTACTATAAAAAAATGCTGCTCTTGGATGATGATGGCTGTCATTTTTCAGAACTAGATGGTTTCTTTTGGTTGGGCTGCAGGCATGGTTCCAGATGTGGAGAAAATCATTGAGAGCATTATCCAGGGAGACCAGGACACTGTCCAGCTCCTCCTGGACAACTACAACACCAAGGTCATTGATTGTTGCTATGAACACTGCATCAGTCCGTAACTAGAAATATTAATTCTTGTAATCATGGTTTGAAATAATTCAAAAGAAATGAGAATGTTGCTTGTTCATTTGACCCCTTGTCCACTCTGTGTTTGTTGCTCCTACCACCACGCTCAAAAAATGAAAATATTCAAATAAACTTTATTGGCATGGATGTTAGTGTGACATTATTCCCAAAGCTAAATTACATATTATTAAAAAAATTGTTTTAAAAAATATTCCACTTTAACAAGATAACTGAATAGATCAGTCATCACAAGACAACAAATACTTAAACAGTAAAATGCACCAGAGCATCCTGTATACACACAAACTGACTGAACAAAGGATTTGCAGCCAATAGTTATTTTCCTGCTCTCTGCTAGGATGTAGGAAGTCTCCCCTAATTTGTGTGGTGGAGGATTTCTGGACACCTAATGCTGGCTTTGTGAAGAAATTCTTGTTTCAGAATACAGTGTACCCAGTGATTGACTGAAGTGTCTGTCGGTCTCTCTCTCTCTCTGTTTGATTTTTGTTTCATTGCACCATTTTTGTAGCGGCCCACAGGGACCCCTCCCTGTACTCCCCATTGCCAGTCCGCCTTTGTTTTGCCGCTGTTCTCCCTTGTCCTCACTCTCTGGTATAAAGCTCCACTTTGATTTCATGGACTTTGGACCTCCACTCTGGTGCAGCCAGTGCTCCCAAGCCCTGTATTAAAGTTGTTCAATTCCAGAGGCACTGCCACCCCCTCCACTCACTGCATGTGTTCCAGTTCTGTACTGCTTACCAAATTGAATTTCAGTGTCCACAGTAGAAAATGGACAAATTAAGTATTCTTAAAAACGTCTGTTTGCGTACAACATCTGCATTTTAGTGTGTCCCACTTTTGTTTTGTATTGTACTATTGTGTTTGCCCTCCATCTTCCTAACCCCCTGTATTCTTCTGTCTCTCCACAGTATGCTGAGTGCTTCTTTTTCAACACTGAGGTGCAGGAGAGAAAAAAGGTCTGTACACAAAAACTTACCGTTACCTTTCCCTCCCCTACTTTCCCTTCATCTGTCCCATTTATCCATTATTGTCTTTTTTCTGTATTTCTCTATTGCCATTTTCTCCTCTCTTGCAATCTTCACTCCTGCCCATTCTTACTCCTTACCTCTGAGCTTTGTCACCCCAGCATTCCCCTGTTCCAGCTCTAAATAGAACCCCCTGTTTAGTCTGAGGAGGCCATCTTCATGGCAGGCCATTTAATGGCAAGATCCCTATTCCTTCCCTTTTTATACACCATCTACTGTACTTCCCATATCAGTGTGTCAGTGTCAAGCTTTCACTATCTTAAAAGTATTGATCAGAAATGATATTGATCAGATTTTTAAGATATATATTTAAATCATTATGTGTACTGTTGTAGCACATCACGCATTTTTGTTTTTAGTCAGTATCATAAAAATGAATGGTATCGGAATAATCAAACCTGACCCTAGTCACAGCAGGAGTCACATCATTTGAGTGCTATGGAGTTTCCATCAGTCAATCAGCCCTTCAGGATCAGTCAGTCAGTGAGTGAGCCTGTGGAGCCTCGCTAGCAGCCCCAAGTGGTTGCAATGTTCAGTACACCCTACACGCATGTGAACCTTTAGGGCATGATGGTAATTCCTCTCTCAGTATTTCTCACATGCACACACACACACACACACACACACGTTAAAATATTTAGAGTATATATTATACAGGTTGTATTTAAAAGTAATAAAATAGCAAATTTAAAGTAGTTACAAGCTCAGTGTCACTCATATTTTCCATTCTCACATGTCAATGCAGCATAAAGGGAAAACAAAACAACCTGATTTTAGGTAGCCAGTCCTCTGTGCATAATGTTAAATGACTCCTGTCCAGATAGACAAGCACAGGTTAACCCATTTCAGTAACACCACCTAGACCAAATTCATTAAGTTACAAAGAAGATTTTTCTGTGGTCATTCAAAAATAAAAAGACATTGTCTGTGTACAGTGTCCAATAATATAACGCTTTTTGCTGTAAGGCAGTAATATAACATTAATAAATAAAAATCGGTAATATTATACCCGTTATAGTCTCAGTAACACACATTACAACGCACCTTAACCCAAAATTAAGAGGAGTTTTGTTTTTTTAATAATACACCAACACCGCGAAACATTTCGGGACCAGAAAAACAAATCCACGAGTTAAATAGTAACGTTATTTCGAGATTGTAGGCAGGGCGCAAACTACAGGGGAGCTCGGCTCCTCTTAACAAGACGGTAGCTCCCCTGATGTATCATGACTAAATACATTTCTATAGGCTGTGTGTGTTTAACAGATTCCTTTCATGATCAGAGAAGCTGCTGTCTGTTTATCCTGACCGATCCTGTCGGAGCGTCGGGAGATTCAAATAATCTAGGACATTATACTGCTGTACCTCATGCGTAAATGCGCACAGCGTCTTTCTTAATGGTGACACATTCATCCTTTTTCAGCCATCCACACCCACCCTTCCCGCTATCACATCTTACTATCAGAATAAAGCACCCATTAAACAGCAGTGAAAGTAACTCAAAGTAATGCAAAAGTAGAGTAAAGCATTACAATTCAGAGACAGTAATATTGTAATATAACGAATTACTCTCAAATGACTAATAACTAATCTATAATGTATTACATTTTGGAAGTAACTTGGCCAACACTGTCTGTGTACAGTGCAGTGTTTTGTGCACTGTGCAGATTTTAGTATGCTTGATGTTTAGTTTGGACCTCACTGGTTCCATTGCCAAAGTGAACAACAGGGTGAAGGGAACAAGGTAAAGGAGCGGAAAAGACAGCGAGGGAACCGTTAACGACGACTGCTCAGGGTGTGGGATATGAAAGCTTTACCCAATCTACAGCATTTCCAGGCTGGGTGTGGTTAAGAACAGTTATTGCTAACAAATGCCTTCTCTGCAGCAACTAATACCAGTTGGTTATAAATCCAACTCTTTGGATAATTATATAAGGCCAGTAAGCATCTCATGTCTGAGCAACATTTAGACTCCATCCTGTAAAAAGCAGTTTAATTGTGGCTAGTGAAGCTGTGAACTCGTCATCCTGGACAGGAATGGAGGACGATAGGGTTCTCTGCCCCCTGGTTGGATGTTTAACAGCAGTGTCTCAACATAGCTTGTTTCTAGCGCTGCTCTACTCTAATGACCCTCCTCCATCTAAAACTTCATCTTTCCCTAATGCTTTTATGCATTGCATTTCTGCCGCTGCTCATGGACAAACGGACTACAGCAACAACAACTGGAAGAGGTAAATACATCAAGAGGAGAGAGAGATGAGCTGACTATGAGTTTATGCTGCATTACAGTAATCTGTAAAAGTGCTTAGTCACCCCCAGTGTGTGCAGTGTGTGTTTCAAAAGTGACTGTGTAATCATATCTAGCTGTAAAGCTGCTCGGATACTTTGTGACTCAGCACATTAACCCTGTTAACCTTCACCGTGGAGATCTCCTTAAGCTACACTATTAGTCCACTGCAAGACGCCTTTGTTCTTGGACAATGACAATCAATAAATAACATTTTACTATAGTCATTCCATCTCATAACAAATGCATCGTAAAACACTGTAGAACTTCAATGTTCAATTTGTGTGTTGCTAGTGCTAACTCTGCCCCTTTGTGATCAGTTCAGGAAGAACAAAGTGAGAGACCACGCTCCCGACTCGGATTCTGACATTGACCCAGATGATGATGAACCTGATCTTCTTCTCCGACAGGTAATGATTGTGTATTTGTGAGTGTGCATGTACATTAGAAATGTCGTTACAGATTATTACTAGTCCCCAGGTGTTTGCAGTAGATATAGCAGCAACTAAAAAGGCATTTTGTATGCAGGAGTCTCCTTTCCTGTGTGTGTTCCTGTTGTCTAACTGACTAGTTGACTAACTCCTACTGCATGTACTGTATGTGCATACTTCACATACTCACTCAATTCTTACCCTTCTTATTCTTTCATTTTGCTCTGTTTCTCGTCCAAATGATCCCTTCTCAACAAATGTTGCTTCAGCGCCTGGCCACAGTCCTGCTGTGCTTCATCAGTAGTCAGCTACAGCCAGCAGTGTTACGGGTTTGCCTGCATACGCTGCGTATCTTGTCCCGTGACCGACTGGCCCTAGGGCCCATGGTCACTGACAGTGCCCTTTTCACCTTGGCACACCTGGGAGGCATCAGCTTACTGCCGACATGCCCACAGCAGGAGGAGGAGGAAAAAACGGAAGATCTGTCAGCCAGAACACACAGCCATATCCACAGAAGAGCAGCGAGTGGCTGGGAGGCGGCTGCAGATGCTGATGCTACACCGTTATCTGTAAGCTCTGTGCTTGCCTGCTGTGCTGCGGAGGTAGCTGGTGCTGCCACCACAAATGGCTCAGTTCAGCACTACTGTAAGTGGACAGGTGATGGAGGTCATGTGGTGCTTGCCCGTGGGAAGAAGGACACCCGGGAAGAGGACAGTGAGGAGCAAGAGAAGGAGGAGGATGGGGAGGTGTGTAGGAAGGAGGCCATTAAAGTCTTGTGTAATGTCATCTACAACAGCCCCAGAGCACAGGAGAGGGCCAGCTCTCTAAGGTGACTTTTTCAAATGAGTAGACCTAGCCGTAACATTTCTAAAAGTTATAGTTATATGACAGAAGCACTTGTGAAGTCAGATAACACAAAGCCTAGTAGCTTTTGCAGCTCTATGTCAGCGCAGCTGACTGTCACTGTGGTCGTTAAAATGACACATCACCAGCAGCAGATTATAGGAGCAGCAGTTAATTATTGTTTATAACTTTTTGGTGACAGTTCAATAAACTCTTTGGCTATAACCCATTACTCTGTAACATAATAATAATATATAAGACATTAAAATGCTACATTCAAATGGTTTTGGTGAATTTTACATGATGCCAAGTGACACTGCAACTTGTTCAGCTTTTAGATATCACATATGAACAACCACATTTAACCAATAAACTTCACAATTAATGCTCACCAGCTGCTGACCAACCACTGGCCTCACTCTTCTTTTTATTCCTTTTTCCATGGAAGGCTTCTGCAAGGTCTGTGGGAGAGTCTGAAGCAGGGGATCTGGAGCAGGGCACCGTCCAGCAGCCAGTTTTACAAGCTGAGACTGCTCTTCTTACTTACGGCTCTGAGGCCTGAGCTCAGGCTGCAGCTACAGCAGGTAAAATGCTTGCAGGCTAGAGTGGATGGAATTCTATTTTGTATTGTTGTCTTCAGATAACAGAATCATAATTTTGTGATCCTAAAAAACAAAATTGATATTGAAATTGATAATTGTGATTTCCCCAACTTTCTTGTGATCATGAGATACATGGCAATCAACGGCAAGTTTGCTCGTGTTTGACAACAAAAGATTATTATTATAATAATATACTGCAACTGCAACCAAATAAAAAGTCCCTGCAACATCACTATGATATTGTTGGCTCGTCAGAAGATAATTTACATGAGCCTATACTTACCAGATTAGACAAAAAGCACTGTATTATTCCAATAAGAGTAAGATAGGGCCTAAGTGTTTTTTACTGTGTCACTATCTTAAAAAGTCCAATGAATACCAGATGATCTATCTCATCACAATTACTCTGTAATCAGGATAAAACACCAGAATAATCCATAAGCCTGTTCAGAGGGCTGAACAGGCTACTTTCACAAGACCAAAAAATTCATGTTACATTTATTTCTCATACAATGTGAGTTTTCATAAGTTTTCATAAGTTTTGTCTAATTTCTGAAAAATGCCACACAACATATACACAAAAGTAGATCTAGTGCAGTATTGAGCTAAGTCCTTTCCTCAGTCCCATAGATGAGTTGTTTACGTCATCAGTGGTTTATTTACCCCTGGCAGGAGCGTGGAGTGTCAGTGCTGACCAAAGCCCTCCAGCAGTGCCTGGCTGTGAGGTGGGGTGAGGGATATGAGGTACTTAGTGACAGCACAGCTCCACCCATCTCCAAGGAGACGTCCCAGGAGGTCATCGAAATCCTCAAGACACTCTTCAACATCGCTCACACGTTCCAGAGGCAGGAGCCAGATGAGGTGACCCCCTTGAAAACATACAAACCAGCTGCACAACTCACAAATCCACCAATTTTATAAATTCCAGTTCATTACTACTTTTTTTTTATTGGTTATGATAACACTGTACTCACCGAAGTACAATATTAACACAATAGTAGTAACCGAAGTAAGACACGAGTCAGATTAAACACACAACATTTTTTATTTTTATTCTTCAACAATATTTGAAATATGCTGTAATCACATGACAATTTGATACGTAGTGACTTTAAATGACATTGCAATGAATATGGTCTGTACTGGCCTGTACTTGCCAAGCACCTTTCTAGTCTTTCTACCACTTAGTACACTATGTAAAATCAGACAATGAGCACCCCCATATCCCCAAAATGGCACGATCCTTGTTTCGCTGCGAAGCTTCGACTGTGAGATTGACACTTGAATCAGGCTACGCCCATGGAAGCATCTAATCTTCGACTATTCGGGGTCAGCCCTAGTTCACATTGTCATTCTGACCAACAACTCATGAGCCTCTTATGTGAAATTAAATAAAATGGTCTGCTCACTTGTTAGTGTCATGTGAAAGCAAATGATCTGACTTGAAGAAATACAAAATCCATTCATTCCATTCATCCATTTCCCGCCGTATATTTGGGTCAGGTCGGGGCATCAGCAGGATAAGCAAAGGTAGCCCACACGTCCTACTCCCTGGCCACATCCTCCAGCTCTTACTGGGGTATCCTGAGGCATTTCCAGGCATCATAGGAAACGGTTTCTGCCATCACAGGCTAATCTTAGGGCCAAAGCTAAGAGCAGCCACCTACACAAATGAATCTTTCAACACGGCCCATTCATATTCGATGTTTCCAGCCTTCTCTGAGATGCAAAGGATACAAAGGTGATCATTGAACTTGGATTTTTGTACCAGCAACACTGGAAAGTGTACCCCCCTTGTAGTAGCAACCCCCTTGCTGGTGCCTGTCTGTTTGGGCCAAGCCCCTGGAGTGCCCCTTTAAAAGCTGTGACTTGTGTGTTTTTCAGGAGGATGCTGCTCTGTATCGCCACCTAGCAGCTGTGCTGCGACACTGCCTGCTGCAGTCATGTGATGGAGAAGACACTTTGGAGGAACTCCAAGGGTCAGACTGCTGTTATTAGATTAACTTATTTGATAATGATGTAATAAAATGAGTGATGTCATCTATGTACATGATGTAAGAGGTGGAACTGTAATTTAATAAACCTACAAAATAAGTAGATACCTTAGAAAGAACATAGATCATATTTTTTCACATTAATGTTTTAAAGGAGACCTATTATACTGCTCTTCCAGTCCTATATTGTAGTTCTGTGACTCCTGTATGGCAGCTTTGTAAGATTCAAAGTCCAAAAAAATCAGTCTTATACTGGGCCTTCATGTAGGCCTTCGTTTTAGCCTGTCTGAAACAAGCTGTAGATGCTCCTGTCTCTTTAAGCCCCCCCTCCTCCTCAAGACCTGAAGCATGTTACCAGGCTGTTACCAGGCAGTACAGACAGACTGAAGGCTCGAATATACTGGGGAGCAGACGTGCACACGGACAGCTGCGGAACCCCATGGATGCGGACTACTTCTGTTTATACTTCTATCTGGAGTCAGATTGGTGGCCTCGTTCCACACATGCGCAGTAGATCGGTTGGTGCCCTGGTAGCGCTAGTCGGCCATAAAAAAATGGGAGGCATGCGGACGTCTGCACAGACCCTATGCGTACCCCATCTGATGACAATTTTTTTGTCAAGCAGACCCTAGCGGTCCCTCGCGGACGTGGAAAGTATAATCATTGCTTGAGCGTTGCTGTTCCGTTGCTCTGCCGCTGCTGTGCGGAGCAAATGACCATATATGGAACACCAGCTCCGTGCGTCGTAGAACAGAGCCGTTGGTAGAAAAAGCAGTTCAAAACAGAGCGTTGAGAACAGGAGGAAATCTGAGGTTTTTGCTCACAGGAAACTCAATACTTTAACCTCATTATTTGAAGCTTTGGCCATGTTTAACATGAACATCCAACATTGTAACATTGTAGATAAGTCATAAAATGTGGAAAAGCAAAATAGGTCTCCTTTGAAAATTGATGACTTCTTTCCATAGACATACAGTTAACATCCTGTCTGCACTACCGCTGACGTGTCTGGACGTCCTGTTATCTGTCCATGTGGACCAGGCATTACACAAGTGGGAGGGAGTCAACATGGACTGTGTCCACACGTTGCTGCTGTTTATGGACAGACGGCTGAACAGGGTAAGTGTGTGTGTGTGTGTTGAAGTAAATATCCAGGTGTTGCGAATACTTGGTGTTATCGCCTGAATTATTAATACCTGTATTTGAACAAAAAAAATCAATGTATGTAAAATACTGATGTACGAAATTGAGTTAGTGAACCTTAGTGAACTTAATGAGCAGATAAAGCATACTCATGATCAACAACTCCACCAAAACAACCTGCACCACTCTACAACTAAAATAAACCATTTACAATAACCAACAAACCATACACAATTACACCATTATTAACCCCCTAAAATAAGACTTACAAAAGGAGGACTGCCAGCATTTCTTTTTACCTAATTTAGCATATACATGATACAACAACTTTACCTGTTTTCAGCACATTTTAATGATGTGCCTACTATTTACTGCTATTTGTTTGAAACCTGGGAATTAAGATCAGTATTTTCCCTTACCCTGAATAAACAAAACAATTTGGGATATTACGTGTGTCTATGCACAGTGTCTTTGTGCGCCTGTGTGATCACTTGTTGAAGGCTACCATATGGGCAGAAACAAAGTTGCTTTTTCTCAACTCAACTAATATTGAACTACAGCCATGACATACAGTAATTATAGTGATAGAAAAGTGAATCAACTTTTCAGCTTGCAGCTGTTCTCTCGGTTTCTTTTCATGCTAAAACGGTGGGTTGCAGATGACCTGGGTGGCAGAGTTATGGTAGAATAAATGTCGCTGAAGTGGAAGCATGCAGGCAATTCAGGGTAAGTAGTGGCATGACTCAGAGCAGAGGGACATTTATCTGGCAGGCAGAAGATAGCCCTAAGGTTACAACAATGTCCTAAAACTGAGCTCTCACACCTTAAAGGGCCAAAATAATTGGTAAATGAATGCTGAAAAACAGAAGATCAAACTATTCTAACTGGAAAGACAGTGTTTAGTTAAGAGAAAGTGTAGCTATTGTAAATATTATCTTTTATTGTTATGATTTCATTTAAAATAGTCATATGTCTAAGGAATTCAGTTTCAATATCAGTGTATAGGAGGTACATGTAATGAAGCGGAATCTTGTTTTTTGGTCAGGTTTACTCACTCTGCCTAAACTGCTCAGTTGTCATGTGCTGTTATACAGGGTCAGAAGCTGAAGGAGAAACTAATCCCTGTTCTGAATCTGCTGACTGAGAGTTCTCGAGTACACAGGGAGACGCGTCACTACTTACGGCAACTGGTAATGCTTTTTTGTTTTTTTTATTTTGTAATATATAAATACCAAATATTATATGCATCATTCTCACAAATAACTCACTTTTTTGGCCTTGTGGTACAAGAAAACTAATTTTGTTTAGTCAAAAGGGGGGCCTGTCATGGCTGTTGAAACCAGGCAGACTGGTATCATTCCATGATGTATTGCCACAATGGAGGTATATGCAGGCTTAAGGTCATAGTCTGGGTAAGGGCCAGGTTCTGGTGTCTTTAAAGCAAAGAAACCAAGCACATAGCAACTCTGCGACATAGAAAGGTCTGATCTGGTAACTGTGGGGCTGATGAGCTAAAGCAGAAACATATGAGCAGTTCGATGAGGGAAGTCTGAGGGCATCTGGTGGACAGGTAGAAAATTGCAATGAACTGGTTTGGGATAGTGAGGGTGTGGCTGGAGAGAGGGGACAGAGAACGTGGCAGGGGCGTAATGTTGTGCTTTACTTACGGCTTTATGCATGACAACTGGGAAATCAATCAGTGCATATACAGGTTCATGGAAATGAAACAAACCTTAACATTAGAGGTACTCTAGTGAAGTAACTTTAGCACTGGAGACAGAAGTAATGACTCTGACCCGAACCTTTGGCCTAGATCTTACCTCCACTGAGAGACGTTGCCATCCGACCTGAGCAGGACACCACACTGAGAGGCCAGCTGGTCCGCCTCATGACACACGTTGACACAGATGTGAAGCATTGTGCTGCTGAGCTGCTCTTTGTGCTCTGCAAAGAAAACGGTACAGTTCACCACAGACTCATTTACTCCCATTGCAGAGCCCATGCAAAACTAGTTTTATTTTGAGGCTTTTGACAAAAAACAGTTTAGAAACATTTGCCTCTTGCTCTCAAGAGTCCTACAGAGGCCGCTGGGTATGCTCTCGTGTTTGTCATGCCTTTTCCTGTTGAATTCTCGAGGACCTGACTGATGCAATGCTTCAGAGGTGGTTGATAAAATATGACAGTGCTGAGCATTGAGGGGATTTTAACTAAAACTTAAGACCTAATAAAATAGACAACTACAATTGTCCTCTATTGTCCCTATTTATGGGAAGTGGCCTGTAGAAGGTTACAGTGGACTTTTTCTCTTGTCATGGTCTATAGGCCATGTTCAGTCCTACTGTAGGTGAGTGCATATTGAAGGCCTCCCCGAGGGGACTATGGTAGAGGCTCATAGCAGCATTTAGAACTGTCACGTCAGTTCATTCCAATGGAATCACCGTCACACACGAAGCAGCACAGCTTTTAGAAATGCATCAAGAAATCAACTTAACAGGCTTCATATGGAAAGAGTACCAAGTGGTAATGTTTGCATCTTGTGTCCCTCCACAGTCAGACGCTTTGTCAAATATACGGGTTATGGCAACGCTGCCGGGCTGCTTGCAGCTCGGGGACTGCTGAACGGTCGAAGGAATTCAGGCGACAGCCAATATGCTCCCCGGTACTCCAGCGACTCAGACTCGGACACGGAGGAGTACCGGGAGGCCAAATCCAGGATTAACCTGGTGACTGGCCGGGTGGAGGCAGAGCAGCCTGACCCAATGGAAGGCATGACAGAGGAAGAGAAGGAGGAGGAGGCCCGTCGCCTCATTGGCATGATCAATAGGCTATCACGGTGAGTAAAGTATGGTATTGCCCGTGATGCAGGACTGACATAATGTAGAAAACTGATTAAATATTACTCTCCCTTCCTGTCTCTTACCCAGAGACCAGATAATTCAGCCACTGGGTGTGACAGCAGAGGGGAGACTGGCTCCACTCTGGGGCCAAATGAGAGACTGCACACTGGAGGAAGAGGAAGATTCAGAGGAGGATCTGGATCTGTTGCCAGAGGGGAGGAAAGACAAACAGATGGAATAGAATGATGTAAAGAGCGAGCAGTAGACTTACAGGACAGAGACACAGGCAGTCTTATTTCACCACTTGTTTGTAGTGCACTTCCTTTTTACTGCTATATTCATACAGCAACAGTGAAACACTGTTAAAGCAGATGCTGGAGGCATAACCATCCTACATAAAGTTCAATTGTTTCAAATAAACATGTAAATTGTGAACGGATGGTCTGTACTTGTATAGACCCCCCATCCACACACATTCATACACTGATGGCAGAGGCTGCCATGAAAGGTGCCAACTGCTCATCAGAAACAGAAACTATACACACACACACACTGATTAGTGGGCGACCCAGTCTACCTCCTGAGCCACAGCCGCCCTGTTACTAGAGTATGAGCGGCCGTCCTGCACTGTTTGAAGTGTGTGCAACAGAGGTTTAAATTACTTTGAGCTTTGAATTCACTGTGCACTGACCTTTGAGAGATCAGTCAATGACTGCAGCCTGCTACAAATACTTGGATGTGTTTAAGAGTAACAGGTATATGAGTGTAAATGGGAAGGTTCATGTTATTTATGGTATTTCTAGAGCAAAACGGCTGAGCACCTTTGTATTTGTTAATGTCTCACTGAATGTGAATTATCAAAAATAAAAGAAGTTGTAAGCTTTTAGAATTTTGTGTAATGCAAAAACAAATAAAAACTAAATGTTTTCTACTTCAGCAGTGCAACTCAAATCCCATCTACATATCATAAACTGCATACACAATTGCAGAGCATTGTCGTGAATGTGGGGCAAAATAACTGGTTTACAACATAGTACATTAGATAAACAATCCCGTAGAGCACACTAGAAGGCAAGGAAACTTACTTTTAATAGGCAGAAACCTCTAGCAGAACCATTGCTCAGGGTGGGCGGCCATCTGCCTCGACGGGTTGGGGGTGAAGGGAAGGGAGGGACAGACAGTTTTGTGGTGAAGGCAGGGTTGAGTAGGTTGGAGGACCCAAAAGGCGAGCACACTTACAGACTGAGTGGCTGAAAAACAAAGGTTGTCCAATAGAAATCCAAAATGAGCAGGGGAAACACCAGGCAGGCGCGCGCGCACACACACACACACACACACACACACACACACGTGACAGACATGAGGCTAATGAGGCACAGGTAAGCAGAGAGAGCAGGGGGAAAAAGAGACAGACATGCAGAGGGATCACTGGGGTAACAGACATGACAAAGGTTACTAAACACTAGACGACAGAACCCCAAAACAACAGGTCAAGCCGGCCCAGGGTGGGCGGAGGGAGGTAAGGTGGCAGGCCAGAAAAATAAAACAAAAGTCTTTTGGCCAAAAACAGGCCGGGCAAGGCAGTTCAGGAGGCCGACTGAGGCGGCCAGGGGTAAACAGCAGTTCGAGGGGCCGACCCCGAGGTTGACCCAACAGGCCCGGCACATCAGATGGACCACAGAGTTCAGAAGGTCGCCCAGGAGGACGACCCAACAGGCCGGGCAGAGCAGAGGGGAAACAGTCCAGGTGGCCGTGCTGAAATATGACCCCGGTGGCGGAGTTCAGGGGGACGGCAGGAAGGCCAACAATGTGGCTGGAAACCTGCTGGAGGACGGGCCGGAGGCCAGCGGCAAGGGTCTGGGACCCTTTTTTTGAAGTTTAAATTGACCAGTGTTTTCATCGATTTATATTTATATTATAAATAAATATAATATTTATATTTATAGGCCTAGACTGCTGGAGGATTTCCTATGATGCACTGAGCTCCTCTCTCCTCTACTTTCTCTCCCTCTGTATGCAACCTCATCCTATTATTGCATGTTACTAACACAACTTCTCCCCTTTCCGGTAGTCTTGTGCTTTCTCGTCCCTCTCCTCTTTCCTCCTATCACTTCCTGCAGGTGTTTCTGGCTCTGGATCTGTGGTTGCGGGTCACCTGCTGCCCCCGTGTTCCTGCACGACACCCTCTGCTGCAACAACTATTGTTACTAGTCCTATTATTATTATTGTTATTATAATCATTAACATTACGATTGTTATCATTAACACTATTATAAATATCTATACCATTTTTCATTTAGTCTATAGCAACATCACCTTTACTGTCTGTACCTCTGTGTGTATATTGTGTAGGCTGCCTCCCTCCCCTCTCTCCTTCCATCCCTCTCTTTTTCTCTCTGTTCCTCTCTTGCCCTCTCCCTCTCTCTCTCTCTCTCTCTCTCTCTCTCTCCCTCCCTCGCTCCCCCCCCTCTCTCCTTCACCCCAACCGGTCGAGGCAGATGGCCGCCCACCCTGAGCCATGGTTCTGCTCGAGGTTTCTGCCTCTTAAAAGGAAGTTTTTCCTTGCCTCTGTCTCCTAGTGCTGCTCTTGGTGGGAACTGTTGGGCTTCTGTAAATAGCATCATAGAGTACGGTCTAGACCTGCTCTTTTATGAAAAGCGCTGTGAGATAACTGTTGTTGTGATTTGGCGCTATATAAATAAAATTGAATTGAATTGGAATTGAACCTATGATATGGCTAAGTTACCCCGTCCCAGTTTCCCCATCACTGCGTGCTGGGGGACCTAAATGACATTAGTATAGAGGTTGACACATCATACATATGGCGGTGGGGGTTGGCGGGGGGGATGCTTGTGGTGATGGCCCGGTGGTGCTCGGAGTGCTCCTGATTGTGGGGGAGCGGTGTGGTGGGGGGGTGGCAGTGGGGCTGCCGGAGGGGCTCCGGCGAGGACGGGGTATTGTTGGACTTTGGGTTGGGGCTGCACTGACCTGCCTCGGGGGTGTGTGGGGGTCTGGGACTCGGGGCTTTGGAGCCTCTGGGTCTGGGGCGGGTCTGCGCGCTGGGTGGGCTGGGCTCCCCTGGATCTGCCCTGGGGCTGGGCGGGGTTGTCGCTGACTCTGGGGTGCTGCCGGTGCTAGAGGGGCTCTTGCTATAAGCCCTGGGCTGGAGGGACCTGGCGTCCTCCTGCTTAGGGGGGTGGGGGGACGGGACTGAATGAATGATGGGGCCATTCTAGCCTCCCTATGACCTCCTTCACCTTTCCCCCTTTGGTCATGTCTCACAACACCCTTAGGACTCTGGGGGGCGGGCAGGCTACAGGGCGTTTGGTGGGTGGGGCTTCTTTATTGGGGCCTCGCCCTTCATCCTCCCCCACTGGCCGCCCCTCAATTTTAATTACATAATAGACACAGAGGGCTTGGGGGGTGGGAGGGGCACCATGGGAGGCTCCACTACCTGACAGTTGTGGGGTGCCTGTGTCACAACTACCCTCCAATTTTAACTACACCTTAGTTACCACACACCTTATCTTTACTCCACCATACAACACTTCACAATCCATGACATGCATCCAACACAAAACAATACATTTACAGAGGCAGGCAGAGGGGTTGAAGGAGTGGGGGAGATTCGCATTGGCCTTGTGCCCTGCCCCTGGATCCCCGGGCGTCGGGGGTTCTGTGGGGTTGGTGACGGCCTTGCCTGATCTGGGGTGGGCTGGGGGGGTCAGGGCTCCCCTGGCATGGGGGCCCACTCTTGACCTAGACCTGGAGGGCTGCGGTGGGATTGTGGGGCGATTGTCGATGCATCTTGATGCGTTATGCTTTTTCCCTGGGCAGGGTCTCTGAATGGCTGCTGGGCGTTTAGTTTGTGCATTGGAGTCCAGGGGAGGCATTTCCTCGTTGGCTGGGAGGGACCAGTTTGCGTCCCTGTTTTGCTTCGTTGCTCTCGGATCCCCTCTGGATACTGAGGCAAATAGTTAGTTTTCGGGATGTGCAGTGTGGGTGCGGGGCAGGGCTGTGCTCCGGTTTGTTCTGGGCTTGTGCCTGGAGTTCTCGGCCCTTGACGGGTGGGTGGGTTGGTGGTGGCATGCAGCTGAGCTGGTTGATTTTGCCTCGTTGCTGGTTTGGCTGGTGTTGCACGGCGGCCGGGGGGCATGCTGGGCATGGGGGATGTCGGCTTGCGCCGGTGGCCTTAGTTTTTTCTGGCGGTTGGGGGGATGGCGGACTTTTATTGGCGGGTGCACGGTGATGGTGCGGGGCGTTTGCAGCCGGACTGGGACTTGCTGCTGGTGTTTCTCTCTGCTGGCTTTCGCTGTCGTGTTATTCCGCTTGCTCTCTCTCGTTTGCCTGACCTCGCACGCACGCGGGGGGCTGCTGGGCATTGGGTGTCGCAGTGTGCGCGTTGGGCTCATCACTTGTGCATTGGTGTTGATGATTGCGTGGCATTTGGGCGTTTTGGTTGTGCGCTGCGCGGCGGTGGGGTGCAGGGTGGGAGCACTGGTCTATGTTGTGTGCGCGCCGCGGTCGGAATGGGCGCTGCTCTTCCGTGGGTTATGCTTCTTGCGTTCTGTCGGCATTACGTTGTCAACTGGCATTTGGGTCGGGGTATTCCGTGTTTGCATCGCGGTGCATCTGGGAGTCTTTGTTTTTTTGATTGATTTTTTTCTTTTTTCTTTCTTTCTCCCACTCCTATTGGCTACTGGGGTTCTTGCCTGCCTGTTGCTGGGGTAGGTGTGGCACAGTCTAACAACTACATTCTTTAACAGGCTTATGCGCACACACATGTACACACACACATACAGACACATTCACCCACACTCACACAGACACACACAGTCTCACACATAGACACAAACAAATTTAGGTTGTCCCTGGTAGAATTATTCCTGATGCTTTTTTTTCAGTTACTTATTTAAATTAATTATTATTCCAGCTCTCATGGCTGTTCTGTGTTGCTTATTTAGTGTGCTGGACTGTTTCTTGTTTTCATTTTTCTCTTAGTTGTCTTACTATGTCAGCTGTTTATTGCTGCTGTTCGGCTGGTTGTCTTTTACTATTATTATTATTTTTATTGTTTGTTTTTGTTTGTGTTTGTTTGTTGTTGTTTTCCCCCCTCTCTGTTCTATTGCAGGTTTCGTTGCTTTCTGCAATTGGTGCTTCCCACTGCTTTTCCCTGTTGTCCCCACCTTCCATCCCCCTTCTCTTACAGGTCTTGTCCTTTCTCTGTGTTGTCTGTTTGTGCCCCCCCATCCCCGTGTCTGCCCCCCTGTCCGGCCCGGTGACAATTCAATATATAATTAAATAAATAATAAAACAGACAAAGGAGTATATTAATACTCTCTTGTTAAAGTAAAATCTGTCTGGCACAATATGGTATCCAGCTCATCATACTCTATACCAGGCTGCTGGGCAGGACAGGTTTAAAAAAAATAAATAAATGAATAAAAATGCCTAGTAAAGAAAAATCGAGTCAGTGTTGTCACTCATGTTTAACAAAAACATAATAAAATAACATTTGTATTTCAAACAAATAGGAGACTTATTAGCAAATTTGAAAAAACTTTCTTCAACGCCATGCATCATGGGAATTTTTGATGGACTTGCTTGACTTTGATGGCTGCTCTGTATCACCCTGTCCCTCAGAATTCCCATGATGCATGGTGGTGAAGAAAGTTTTTTCAAATTTGCTAATAAGTGTCCTATTTGTTGGAAACACAAAAGTTACTTTGTGATTTATGTTTTGTTAAAACAAAATTCTGCTTAGAATATAGTGTTTTTTGTTGGTAATTGTCATTCTTGTGGTGGTTTACTAGTGAAACCAGGAGTGAAGTGCCTGTTTCATTTGATAAAAATGGCTGCATTGCTAGCTAGCCTATAGTCAAGTTTGAGTCAGCTCAAGTAGTAATTTCTGATTGTCTTCTTTGTTCCCCAATTCT